CCTGTCTCTTATCCTTTAAGACTAGCATGTCTTAGTCTATTTACTGACATTCTGAAATGAGCTATTTGAGTGGAAGAAAACAAAGGAAGAGTTATAGCAAGCAGCAGTAACTCAGAGAATGAAGAATCAGTCTATGGAAGAATGTTACAAATAGATCATCCTCCTATACATATGTCACTCCAGGAAAACTGCCAAGAACTGCTCACTCCTCTAGACATGCTTCCTGCAGGTCCTCCAGACTCCTTAAACAATGCAGTACTCTCAGTCTCCTTTAGTTTCAGGTCTCCATTTTCCCTCAAGATTTTTAAGTGTTATTTTATATTCTCCAAAATTATGGCAATACTGTGCCCAGCATTTAATAACATCCTATTTATCACTATCTCTACCTCACTTCTGAACAGACCTCCTAAAACACTACACAGTATTTCTATCTCTATATTGTTAAAACAACATTGCTAAAGGATTTATTAGTAATGCCAGATATTAATAAATATCTTATTACTGAGGAGCCTGAGATGGGATGACAATAAGTTCAAAGCTGGCCTAAGCAATGTCAAGATCCTGCTTCAGAAAGAAACACAAAAACTTTCTTTAAAGAAGTATTTATCATCAAGACTTTTTTAAAAAAAGAAAAACACTTTAAAAATTTCAGGAGTACACTGTTTCATTTCTCCCAGCCCTGTCAAGGAAATAGTTCACAACTATGGAGAATTGGAGATCCATTCTCTATTATATAAATATCTTTTCTAAAGGTGATAAAGGTACCAAGGAACCTTTCCTAATAAAGGAATTCTTGAAACAAACTAAAAATCAGATATAGGGGTTTTGTACTGTTACAGGACTAAACTTTCCTTTAGAATTTATTGTATGGGTGGTTGAGAGCAGGAAGCAGAAAAAGCAGATCAAAAGCTATCATAAAACAAAACAAGACTCCCTAAAATAGAAAATACACTTAATTAATATTAATTAAACTTCCATAAAAAATCATTTGTCTGAATAAACCTTGGTAAATAAAACAGTCACACTAAGTACAATCAGAATCGTAGTTTCTCTGGAATTTGAAAACCACCATTTGTTCAACTATAGATTAACAGGTTTCACTGCAAAATGAGTTGTGCAATCAGAGCTATTCATAGATAAGCATGATTGAGTATAGCTGAATAAGTTAATTGAATAAAGTTCATTTATTAAAAGCAAGTAAACTGCTCAGTGTTCACAATTATGAGGAATGAACTTTTACATTTTTTCTCACACTCAATTAAGATTTTACACTCTGCCATCATTTGGGGTAGAACTAAATGATCTATACAAATGTACAATGACTTCAAGAACCACCATTCTGGTGGTGTTCTTTTTTTTTTTTTTTTTTTTTTTTTCTTTTTCTTGAGACAGGAGCTGGCTTTGTAGCACAGGCTGGCTTTGAACTCATCATGTAGCTGAGGTTGGCCTGAAAGTCACAACAATCCTCAGGCCTCAGTCTCCTAAGGTGCTGGGAACACAGGTGCACCACACCACACCCTGTCTACTACTGGCATTCCATTTAACTCAATGCAAGAAATTAAAAGCTCTCATCCTTTGTCAGAAAAAAAATTCACTAAATTTGTCTTGTGAAAGAGCTGCTTTTACTTTTGAAATCAAACATGGATTATGTTTTCCAGCCTTCAAAGTAAAAATAACTTTAAAGAAATGAAAATATCTGAAATAGAATTAAATGTTTTGAGAAAAATAATTCAGAAATCTTGATGGAAAGCTACAGCAACAGTTTCTTCAGTTTCATAAAACATTAATGAAAGGTTACATAATTCCCTGGATTAAAGCTTTTAAAGAGAACCACAAGAATCTCTTTCAATTTTCCGTACTGGTTTCTCTGTTCATACATATAAGAGATCTAAACCAGCTGGGCGTGATGAAGCACACCTGTAATCCCAGCACTCAGGTGACTGAAGTACAAGAATCACCTTGAGTTTGAGGCCAGCCTAGGTTCACAGCGAGATCCTGACATGCATCACAGTATCAACAAAAAAATACCTAAACCAACTTTATCTAAGTTCCAACGGACTGTCAGACAAAGGGTAACCCAAAAGATATACTATGCGTTCTTAATTTAATTTTAAATGAACGTCATCAATTATAGTTAGGCTCCTCGAACAAGTTAAATTTACAACGTACACCACATCCAGTTCACTCTCAGAGGAGAAAACCATCAAAACAAAAGCTCCTGCTTACTGAGCAATTCCTGTTTGCAGTTAAGTCTCTAGCCCAGTGCATTTTGCTGCCAAGTATTATTACTACCTCTCTCTACAAAAACCTGGAAATCATATTGCCAGTACCTTTAAAAGTCTGTATTCTATTTTAGTGTAAGGCCAAAAAAACTTTAAAATACTTTTACTCTCTAAAAACAAAAATATTTTTGGCTTTTCTTTTGAAATTTCTTATTTTGCTTAATGTCCATATATAAAATGTTCTTAAACCTGTTCATTTCACTTTTTGTTGTTTATTGTCTCTATGTCTGTGTAGCTTTTTTCAGACAATGCTTCACAGTATGTTGGTTTCAAAAAAGGGTGAAAAAGAGGGCAGCAGTGAAATAAAAGCAGACGACATCTGAGTAACACCAATTTCTCTGCCTCAAATTCCCTTAAGTCCTCATGCCAAAGATTCTCAATATCCAAAAAATGTTCCAGAGGGAGAGGCAGTGATAGCACTAGCGTAAGAGAAGTCAAATCAGAAAATTTTTAAAAAGTGAATAGACTAATCCCTTCTCAGCCTTTTTGGCTAAGATCAAGTGAAGAAATTTAACAGACTGTCTTATCACTTGAGAAAGAAATACAAGAAAAAGATGATTAAATAATAACCCAATCCCTGGACACTGGAAGCCTGCTTTTTTGCTAAACTGCATGGCTCAACCACTTTTTAAACTTTTCTGACTGCAAGAAATACATTTTACATTGTGACCTAGTACATGCAAGTATGAGAAGTTTCCCAAAACATTTCCTTGCCCAGTGCAATGCTAATCTATTCTGTTCTGTTTGTGGGAAGCTACACAATTTTATAAATTACAAATGAATAATGATCCACAGTTTAAAAGCACAGGCTTTAAAAAAGTGTATCCTCAGGCTGGAGTTAGGGCTCAAAGGTAGAGCACCTGCTTATTATGAACAAGGCCCTGGGGTACCATTCCCAGGACCACCCAAAACAAAACAATTTTTAAAAACGTTTACAATTTTCTTCTACTTGTCTCGTTTGCAGAATGGACAGGTATTTTAGGGTTGCTAATTATTATTTTCACTTAAACAAGTGGTTCTTAAAGTATGGCCTCCTGGTCAACATAAACACCACTTGAAATATATTAATTCCTGGCCTCCAACCAACACCTACCAAATCACACCCCAGGTGAGGCCAACCAGTCCATAGTCCACCAGGCCCTCCAGGTGATTCTGATGTAAGATAATGTTTGAGAACCAGAGTATTAAAGAACTCGGGTCTTCATCCCCCATTTATCAACCTACACAGTTTTGACTAAACGCTAGTCACTACTGTAATGCTCTACAAATATTAGTAAAAAAAATTGTAAAAATACTTGTAAAAAAATTTCAAATCCTCTTAAATAAAAACAGTATATTACACAGACAAAAAAACGCAGGGGTTAAGCTGGCCAAGCAAAGTGGAACCAGAACTCAAATTTATTTTCAATTTAGCAGGGTATGCCTATTCTCAGCATGAATATCCTCTTTCTGACCAAGTCTCCAGTTCTATTCCTTTAGCTCGGCTACTCCTCACCTTTTCCCTCTCAAATTCCCCACCCTGTCAATGTCCTTATTTTCTAGTATAAATCGCTGTCGTCCTAAACCACGTTTCTAAAGCACTAGAATGCAAGTCACTTTACCTTGCTATTAGGACTTTTTCTCTGGTCCTACCCAGCATCTTTGTAATAATTATGAAGCTGAAGTCTCTTCTCTTTCTGAAGATGTTAGAATCCATTAGTGACACCACTGTTAAAATTTCTGGTATCTACTATCCTGGCCAGTTTCTACAAGACCACTACCATTCTCCCTGAGCAACTAATGCTCTCGGTCCCTCGACCAATCTACTATCCACTTCCTACGGGGAAATTACTCCTCTCCTCCTACCTCCATCCCGTTTTGCTTCAGGGAACTTCCACTTCCCCCCACTGAATTCTCACCCACGTCTCAAGCCCGATCTACTTCTCACTCCTGATGCCTAGGAATCCTCTGACCAGGAGCTGCCAGTACAACCTCGGATCTCAGTCCGCCTGGGGGTGGCGGGCGCCTGGGCGCTACGGGTCTCCGGGTCTCCGCTTCCCGGTCTCCAACCGACAGACTCTCCGAGACCTGCGGCTTCGGTAGGAGTCCAGCAAGAGTCCTTTTCTCTTAGACAGCAGTCTTTCTCAGTACGGCCCCCACCCGCTAGACGCCTCTCCGCAGACGCCCCCTACTCAACTTCTGACTGCTCCGTCACTTCGGACCCCTCTTTTTTTCTCCCCCAAGGGCCACTCCCAGTTCCCTTGGGCCCCCAGCTATCTACACACGGTCCGCTCCCGAGCTTCCAGGGTTCCCCGTTTCCTCTGCACCCAAGCTGCCTAAGGTATTCTCAAGTCACCCCGCCCGCCGACTGGTCACCCCGGGTCACCGCCCTCTCTGGGACCCTTGCCGCTCCCGTTTCCTCAAGCGCCACCGCTCAAGCACCGGCTGCCAGTCAGTGCCCCAGACCTAGCAGCTAGGCGTCCCGAGAGACCTCACGGCCAGACTCGTTTGGTTCCGGCGCCAGCCGACCTTCGCAGCGAGAACTCTGCCGCCAGGAACCGGGCCATTCTCCCACCAACCCAGTCAGACCGAACTCGCCGCCGCCTCCGCCCTTGCTCTGGCCCCGACCCGGCCCACGGTTCAGGCCCCCCTTTCTCCTGCCGCCACCTCCAGAGAGCAGAGCTGGAGTTTCCACCCCGCGAAGGCTTCCAGACCTCATGGCCACGTTATTGCACTCACCTGCCGCTGCCCGCAACCAACTCCAACGCCTCTGCCTCTACCTCGGCCACCAGTAGCCACCAAGCGCCACCACCTCCCCCATGACAACAGGCCCACCCTATATCATACTTCCGACCTATCCATTGGACAATGGGGCGGAGGCTCTCTGCTCTGATTGGTTTAGTTCACTTGCCGGTCATCGTGTCTTTACCTCCCCTTTTCCTGGACCGGGTATTCCTCCCCGCCCGGACCTGGAGCGACCTAAACCAAGCTTTAGTTGTATTGGTTGATGGCTGGGCTGTTCGAAGTTATGATAGGCTGCTAGAAGTGTCTGTTAAGTTAACTGGCAGGGGATATGATGGCCACAGTTATTTCCAGCTTGTGCAGAGTTTGGTTGCGCCGTAGAAAGCTAAGAAGGGGCATAAGCTCACGTCTGAGGTTACCGGGGAAGGGTTAACTCTTTGTTGTGGATCCTACGCTGTAAACCTTTTTCCAGCTCCCTTCCTACAAGGTGAAGCTAACCGAAGTTGGCTTATTCTATTAGTAACACCTGCGAAACACCAACATCAAAGATCGTATTTAAGAAGTGTTTCTAACCCCCTGGGAGAAAGGTGCTGTCTAGATAAACATTTCCTTTTCTTGAGTTCCCAATACGCCCAATTTCCTTGAAGTTCTTTCTGGCACTTTAAATGCTAAAAAATCAAAATGCAATCCTTGATTTAGCAGCAGTCAGTCCACTTCAATAGCAATATATAAACATCATTAATAAACAAGTATGATGTTGAGAGTTCTTCAGTTTCCAGACCCACTCCTAGCTGACTTCTGCCAAATAACCACACTGGAGACAATGTTTTGAATAAATGGCGGCATCAAGTTTTGAATAAACGGCGGCATTTTACCCTGTGATCCTCTGAAAATGAGAACAATGCCGCCTCCAACTACCTCCCTCCCCTGCTTAGTTTTTATGTTCAGCAATTCTTAAATAGTGTGTCAGATACTTTAAACGCTTGTTTCCCCCCACCACTTCTCTTCCTAGCAGTCTAAATTAGAGCCATGAATGAATTGTAGGGGTTTTTTGTTGTTATTCCTCACTTGGCACAGTGCACAAGAATAAATGATTGCATTTTTATTCATTTGGGTACAAATCACAGTAGGCATTTTTGAGGAATCTGGTGTTGCTATAAAAACTCTTGTGCTCCTAGAAATATATTCACCATTTTCTTTTTTACTTCTTTTCATTTCCTCCCACTTTTCCTGTTCCTAAATAAGAAAGTGCTGGGGATAAAAAGAAAATATTGGCCTAATTGCTTTTTCAGTTTCTAAATCAAATTTAAATATACCTTTCCCACCACTCCACCTACAATATGCAAACTCAAGGGCCATGAAATGTGGGCTGGGGACTGGTGTGTTTGGAACACAGTGGAGGAGACGTTCTCTTCACAAGACCGATTTCTGATCAGGAACTTCCTGTGGGACTAAGAATCTGGACTTTGGAAATTTTGTACTTTGCCTCTATCTTCTTCCTGCTAACTCTTTTATACCGTATCTCTTCTATTTACTAACCTCCTGTCTGTTGTAGAGCAAACTCCGAGGAGTCTGAAACTGTATGTTTGTTATCCAGGAGGAAAAAACTGCTTTCTAGCCTACATTTTTAGTCAAGTTTAAATAAACTACACACTTCTATCACCAAACTAAGTGGAAATTATTCCTCTAGTAACTATTCATAAAAAGGTGTCTTTTCCTAGTTAATTTCCGGAACTTTCCTTCCTCTTCTCTCATCCTCACCTTCTAATTTAGAATAACCTCCCATTCAATTCAATGAGTCACAAAATGTCTGTAAAAGGAAAATGGAAAATCCAAAATAACTTCAGAGATGTCTGAATCATTTAGTGGAAGGAAAGATTAGGCATTGACCACAATGAGATAGAAGTCAAGATAGAAGGCCTGACTTAACATCCCACAGCAGTCGAAGTAACATGCAAATGTGAAAATACCCTGTGTGTTCTTTCACACAGTCATTTATCATGTGACTAGTAGCTTTCTTCTCTCTAGTCTTGACAATGTTCTGTACTACCAATTTTAGAGCAAGTTAGAAGGCAATTAACGTCCTGGCAGTTAGGAAACAATAACGTCATAGGAAGGCCTGGTCATGATTATGGTGCTTTGTGTAATCATGGTCCTTGCAGAGCCATAGTGACTGGGTGCCATAGAGAATGTAGAATTAGACTGGTCTCATTAGGAGGACCTGCCATCTAAGTTTAGGAACTCTGTGAAATTACAGTCAAAAAAAAAAAAATCTGCTGGAAAAATGCCACAAAGGTCAGTTATTCATTCTGTCTCATATACTTAAAAAAAATTTTTTATAAATGCGTCTGCTCCTACATGCATATACATTTATTATAACATTCCCATTTCTTGTAAAAATCAATTAAGAAAGAATATGTAAAATAAATAGACACAACACAGTAAGAAGGAAATCCATAAGGAACATTTTAAGGAACATGCTTTGAACTAACAGAAGGCTATTATTGTATTATCAAAGACTATGTCGTTTCAGAGAGATTATTGCTCCAAGTCTGTATGTTAATTTTACACACACAAGGTAGCACTATAATGTAATGATTCCATCCAGCTTCTCTTCTTTCCTTTATTATATGCTTTTCCGCCACTCTTGGGAGCCCCCTCTTAGGAAGTGAGAACATTGGAGACTCGGAGTCTGCAGCATTGTAATGTGTGGTTGGCTCTGGAGTGTACAGATGGTATCTGTTCAGAGTCTCTTGAGCAAGACCAGGATGGCAGGTATATTATAAAGGTCAAAAAATAGTCTTTATAAATCCAATAAAGTAGAAAATGGAGTGATATGGTATGCCTTGGGCTTCCTTGGGTACGAATGCTGCCTTTTCTTCTCTCTCGTATTACACTATCACTTTTCAAGGGAAAGGAATCCAAATCTCCTTTCATACCCATTTTAGTCCAGAAAGGCAAAATCTCACCAGGGAAAAACTCTATTTCTTGTTTTCGGACATTATACCTCCCCTCACACAAACGTAGACTGGCTCAGGGATTCTCTACACAATCCCATTTCCAACTGGATTAGAGAAATAAACAACTAGTGGAGAAGAAAATTACTCAGAAAGCAGACATGGGTCAGAACTGCCTGCCACTAAGCCACTGGAGACAAGCCAAGTGCTTGATATGAGGTGGTTTCCTGAGTTAGGGATCCCTAAGGCTGACTGGGATGAAGGGACTGGAGAGAAAGGAAGGGAAAGGGAGGAGAGGGGAGAGAAGGGACGGGAGATACGGAAAGAAAAGACAGAGACAGAGAAGGGAAACTCTGGTCAGGTGAGAAAAAAAAACAGAATGAGAGTCCAGGAGCTCAGTTGGCGGGCTGAGCCAGCTTAGAATTCTGCCTTTCCCCACTCCCTGGCTGTGGACTTTACACCGGTTGCATAATCACACCAGCCAAGCGCAGTCTGCCACTGGTTAAAAGGGGGAAGCCTGCCAGTGCTCCAGCCTATAGGACTGTTGTTTTGCTGCCACCTGGAAATCCTCCCTGAGCTCAAAGCCTGGTGCTCTGGCAGCAGCGCAAGGCAGACAGCAAGGGATGGATTCATGCAGCCAGCCAAGAAGCGTATCTTCTTAAAGGTGACCACTGGCACAAAAAGCCCTGGGAGAAGATGTTTTTACCATCCTAAACCAGGAAGCTTCTGATATATACGGAAGTGCCAAGATGTTTTCCACGCTGGAACAAAGGCACTGTGGTTCCAAAGTTCAAGGGTGTTTCATGGATGAGAAAAAGAAAAAAAAAAAAAAATTCAATGGAGGGGATCATTCTTTCAGGCAGAACCACTTGCTTTCTAATTTCAGGACTCCTGCTGATTTTTAAATGCCACACCATGTCTTTTTATTACTAAATACATTCATTTTCATCCCCAAGAAAAGTACATGACCCCCGTCCACCTGCCTTGCATTTTATAGGTAAGACAGCTTGAATGCTTGTAAGATGAATACGCTCTTAGCTCTTAGCTCTGCCATTGTGCTATTGAAAGGGACCCCTAGTTATTATCAACAGATCTATGGGTGGACCAACCATTCTTCTACAGCAAGGAGTGAGCCTTAGAAAGTACTTAGAACTATGTAAATTTTTGTCCATCCTTGTTTTACATGTACACAAAGAATTTCCTGGAAACATGGCTACTCTCCAAGGACTTCTCAGAGTAGAATGCCTTCTAGAATTCCAGTGTTCCTATCACTTGGAACCTCATCAGAAAGTAGACTTCAATTCTCAAACCTAATGCTGCTGCTGCTGCTGTTATTTGAATCCTGGCTCTACTATTTTCTAATTGTGTAACTTTGGGAACATTGATTCATCTGTCCAAGTTTTTTTTTTTTAAATTTACAAAGCAGGATGCGCTTTTTTTTTCTTTCTATATAACAAATTACCCACCCCACCCCACCCCACTCCATGGCCTAAAGCTACACTTAATATCTTGTATTTCCAGTGGGTCTTAAATCCTACCCTAGTTTAGCTGGCTCCTCTAGCTTTGGCTTCCTCACAAGTTTGCAGTATTCCGTTGGGATGGGTGTGCTTTTCAACGCACTCACATGGTCACTGGCAGAATTCAGTTTCTTACTGGCTTTAGACTAAGGCTTTAGTTCCTCAGAGGCTGTTGGTAGAAAGCCTCCCTCAAAACTTTGTCTTATGGCCTATGCATGACACAGCATGGCATCTTACCTCATCAGAGCAAACAATAAAGAGGGCTAGCCAGAGAAAGAGGTCACAACATTTTATAATTCAAAAGAAGTGATAGCCCATCACTTTGTCACATTCTCTTAGAAGTAAGCCATTAGGTCCAGTTTATTCTCAAAAGAGGGAGTTATATAAGGATGTACTACCAGCAGGAGGACCATCACTGGCACTATTTTAGAAGCAACTTCTTTAGGGTTGTAAAAATATAATGCCTACTTATAGGGCTCATTTAAAAATTAAATGAGAGGGGCCAGGGTTATAGCTCAATGACACAATGCTTATCTGACAAGTGCAAGGTCCTGAGTTTGATTCCCTGTACCCCCTCCCAATTAAATGACATAATATGTTCAGCTTAGGGCCAGTATATTATAAAATGTCTAACTGGCATGTATAACTAGTATTGCTATT